AACATATTTGATTTTGAACAGTCTGTCTTTCCTCCGGTGTTTAACTCTTGTACTACGTTTAGTCTTTTAATAAAGTTTTCTGCCTCCTGTTACACACGTTTCACTTCCTTGGCTTTTTGTTGCAGTCATTGCTCTTAAAGTAAAGTCACAGACTTTTTGAAATGAATCCACTGTCGTGCCTGTTTCAATAACAATACTACAATAGTTAAAAGATTCTACCCTCAGACTATGATAAATGATCCTGAAGTTTCTTTAGGATGAACTTGTTACTGTTACAGTTAAGAAATTAAACAAAGTTTTCTCGTAACACTGTCTGCTTTGGTCTTTATATCGATAAAACATGTGTTCCTGACGTTTTCTCTGAGAGCCCGCTTAATACGGACACCCGGATAATATGGACACTATGGCATGTCCCCTTGGTGTCCGTATTAACCGGGTTCCACTGTTCAATGTTTGCTTATTCTGAAAACAAAAGCCGATTGCCTATCGCGCTATTCTTTAAAAGTTACATTTTAGTTTTAGAGGCACTATAAATTGCTCCAAACATTGCTTTGACGTCGAATGACTTGTTCCTTGACATTTTTAAAATATCCCATGGCAGTTTCGGTTCAAACTCCTGCTACATACATTTTGATGTATTGCAATGCATCCTGAACGGCTTTTCCTGCTGTACGTTGCTTCCAATTCAGGAAAAAGGTATCGGGGTGGCAAGCTACCTTGTATCGAAGCTCAGATAGAACTGTCCAGCACCTTTGTTTATGACCAGAAAATGAGCACGAGTGGCAGTTCTGCCACAACTCTGAAATTTTTGTCACTCCTTCGTTCAATGAATGGGTAGTTTATTCTTGATTTATTAGTGATTCCGCTTTCACTTCGTCAAATAGCCGACTCAAACCGAAACTCACGGACTGTGCGTTCCCAATGTTGTCCCAAAAAGAACACCTTTGGGACATTCCTGAGCGTCGCGAATCCTCTACTAGCCTAAGTAATAATAACTTGAACGTTCAAATTTTTTTTTGTTGTAAATATTCAGATTTTAGTAGGTATAATCAATTTTGCAAGACGATCATTTATAAACCGATCATAGAAAGGAAACTTTAGTAGTTGCCGCAAGAATATGATTACAATTGACGTTTTTCAAGTTTGAATAGAATTAAATTATTGAGATGAGTGTTAAGTACATTTAGTCAGAGTCTAACGAGGAACAGGACTTTTATTATCGCGTCGCTGGAACAACAGTCTCGCTAACGAACAAAAACTTTCCAAAAATCACCAGACGACACGCTACGACTAAAATCATCGCATTCACAACTGCCTCCTAAGTTCATCCAATGATAAGAGGATTCTTCAAAAGCAACGAGATTATACAATCGACTTTCTCTATCCAGTCCGTCATGACCCCATTTACCAACTTGATAATAGCCTTTTTCATATCCCCACTTATGGCAACGTCTTGCCAATTTCGAGTTGTCATTGTTCATTCTTACAAAAGAGTCACACGAAGCAGGGAAAGCATCTGTAGCACCGCTGAAGTACTGGACCACAGCTTCGCCTTTGGAATTAGCGGCCGTGGTTATGTGGAATGTTCGTCCAGGTCTCTTTTTCTTGCAAAGGAATCTTATCTGAGTGAAAGGCATGACCTTTCTTAGCTCTTTCATGGCGGTTGTTGTGAGAAAAACTTGTTTGCTGCTTATTTCACGGTATGAGGTCTTCACTGGCAGACGAGACGGGTGAGTTGAGCTGTTCAACACAAGTCTTGAGATGAGAAGCCAACCACCTGAAATCACACAAGGTTCATTTGTCATGTCAGCCAACAAGCCGGCAACACCGAAACTTCGTCCCGCGCCATATGAAATCCGACGAAGGACTTTTTGAAAGTCTAAGCTTATAGGTTTATATCAAATTTTAAAAAAAATTCCAAGGAATTTCGTAAGTTCTCGAGTAAAATAACGTATTTACATCCCTTTACAAACTGTAATATTGAAGTATTGGAGAACTTTGCCTAGGAAGTAAAGAAAATGTAAGCAAAAATATTGTAGGCCCGAGTTGGTGCCCACTCAAAAACGGTGTACATTGGCCGCATATTAATGTACTGTAAACGACGGTTGATGTGTGCTGTTCCGATGAAATATGTGTAACAGGTCTTTGAAAACCGGTGTCCTTGGTTTGTTGAAGATCCGGTTTGTGTTTTTTTTCTTCGTAGCCACTTGGGCCGGAGTCACCCAATACTGCCCGGCTGACCCCACGGACCCCGGCCCAATTAAGCGGCTGCGAAGAAGACTAAGTTTGTGTCGGAGATAAAAGCAAAACTGTAAAAGGATTGCAAATTTGCTTGATTCACTAACTAGATTAGTTTTCTGCATCACTCTGAACGTGAAACCTAATCGACAATTATTGTTAGAGCCAAATTGCATCATGTCCGTACGTTTGTTTGATTGATTTTGTTTTTAATTTATTTGTGACAGCATGGAAATGTTAGTTGGAATAGCAACTACTCAAGTTAGAAATCTCAAAAGTGACTGTTTACTAGGCCCAAACAAAGGCCAGAACGAGTTTTATCCTTATACTTTAATTTTAATTAAATTTTAGGTTTACTTTGGCAGCAGATCTGTTGTAGAAGGCCTAGATGTAATAAACGACCCTACATGTAATTAAGTCCTAAATGTAATAACATTTTGTCCTAAATGTAATGAAGTCCTAAATGTAACAACATTTTGTCCTAAATGTAATAAACTCTTAGGTTGCAAATTACAGTAATTACTCAAATAAGCGCCGCATTTGTGGCGGGGGGGGATTTAATGAGCGCCGCGGTGCTTATTCGCGTACATACGGTACTAAGAAGTATTACTATGGTTTTAAGCACCGCATTTTTGGAGAAAAAATTTAATAAGCTTCTGTACATTTCCTTATGCACTGTGTAACTTGACGTTTACAAATAAAGTGCTTGTAAAGGGACAAAATAAAAAAAAAAAACTTGTAAGCCTTAAAAGGTTTTTCATACTTCATTTTTGTTAAAGAAATTTACTGCAAAAAACCGTGGACGAAGATCCTGTTGCTTGTCAACGTTGGATCTCTACAAAAGAGATCTAATCAGCTAAAATATTAAGAACAAAAAACGAGAAGTCTAAGGGCCTTTTTACATGGAGGTGGGGGATCCCAGGTAGGTGAGGTAACCCGCTTTGGTGTGTAACCCGCCTGTCCACATAATCTCTCATTTTAACTTGATGACGTTTACATGATAGGTGAGTGGGGTGACCCGCCACATGTTACCTCACCTATCTGGGGTCCCCCACCTCTATGTAAACAGGCCCTAAAGACTACTGCACAGCTGATAACAACGTTTATAAATAACTGAGATAGTACGCGCGCTCTGATTGGGCGAGAGATGTGTTTGCATGAGAGTATGTAAACATGTGTGGAGTCAAGATTTTTTGCTCTTCGCGCGCTAATCACACAAGCACGAATTTTAAAATGTTTTGAGTTGAAAACTCGACAAATTTACTTTATTTACTCATTCCCTCGTCGGATGAAACTTGGAAAATCTTTACAAACATGCTGTGCCAATTTTTTTTCGCTTAAGCTGACATTTTAAGCGAGAAAAACCCTTTTTTGGAAAGCATCTTTATTGCAAAACAAGAACTTATTACATTAAGCTTCGTGTACAAGACTTCGCGACTGGTAAGAATTTCTCTTTTAACCAGTAACTTAAACAAAGAGTTTCTCTTTTTTCTCGGGAAAGCTTTTTTTATAAAAGCGATAGAAAACTTTTTTCCTGTCTTTGCATAGCCTGAGATAAACACTCGAGGGGCTGCAATTGGGATTGACAGTTATGCAAACCCCAGAAAAATACTGTTACTTTGTCGTTTACAAGCAATTTATTTCTAGTCTTAAAGTTTCACAGTGCATAAGGAAATGTACCGAATTTATGCGAATTAGCGCCGCGAAGCTTATTAACTTTTTTCGCCAAAAATGCGGCGCATATTTGAGAGCGGTGCTTAATACCGTAGTAATACCGCTTATTGCCGTATTTACGCGAATAAGCGCCGCGGCACTTATCAACCCCTCAAATGCGGCGCTTATTTGAGGCGGCACTTGTTCGAGTGATCACTGTAATTGGCAGCTGAAGAGTTTATTACATTTAGGGCAAATTGTTATTACATTTAGGACAAAAAGTTATTACATTTAGGACTTTATTACATTTAGGCCTTCTACATCTGCCAATTGTTTAAACGATACCTCTGTAAGTTGTCATGTCACAAAACACTTTTAATGGGTTTCCAGTCTTTCCAGGATCAATCCAGTACTCGCCATCTCCTTTAGAGAACCCTAAGTCCCGGATGTCTTTACAGGGTTTAGCAGGGCTTTCCGGCGTCCAACCTGATCCTACAGAAAAAGAAAACAAAACAAAACAAAACAACAAAAAGAAAAGAAAAGAAGAAAATAAGAACGGCTTAGGACCGGTTGGACTGCATCTTAGTTGTGCAAAGTTAATGCTTGCCATTATGTATACTAGAACTAGTGTAGCTGCAATAATTTGAGTAGCCCGCGTGATTTACAAATACTATTACAAATATCGGTTATATTTAATAGCTTCCAGAGCAGCACATGCTCTCTTACGTTTACTAATAACACAGTTGGGTAAAGTAAGAGGAGAGGGAAAAGTCAAATTCTAAAAAGGCAAACGATAAAACTGTAAGAGCAGCTAATTTACTTTGTTAGTTAAGTCAGGTGCAACCACATGCAAACGAAACCCACGCTAAATTAACCACGGCTTTTTGGTACTGTGGGAAATACCCTTTACCATGGTGTGACCGCCCCTAATGACGGAGACTATAAATGATAATCAGAGAAGGTCAGTGAAGATGATAGGAATACCGATGCAATTCTTTCCATCTCAAGAGTATCCCGGTTTGCAGGTGCAGTTGTGAGACCCTTGAGTGTTATGCAACATACTGCATTCACATCACAGGTATGGGTTTTGTTTCCGCATTCATCTATATCTAATGACGGGGACAAGAAAACATAATAATTCTATAGGGATGCTGCATACCAACTGCAATGCATTTCTTTCCATCTCCAGAGTATCCAGGTTTGCAGGTGCAGTTGTGAGACCCTTGAGTGTTGCTACAAACCGCATTCAGATCACAGGTATGGATTTTGTTTCTGCATTCATCTATCATTACCAGAAATCAGCGACATTTTGCGCCTGCGAGGTATTTGGCACGCGGTTTCAAATTATCAAGATGGCGGCATGAAGGTCGGTACTTCATGTAAGCCTTACGTATAATGTCCTGAGACATACAAGGCCCCACATGTCGAAGTTGTAGTTGTGTAGTTGTTGTAGTTCCTGTAGATGTGTAGTTATTGTAGTTCTTGTAGTTACTGTAATTGTTGTAGTTGCTGTAGTTGTGTAGTTATTGTAGTTGTTGTAGTTGCTGTAGTTGTGTAGTTCCTGTAGTTATGTAGTTGTTGTAGTTGCTGTAGTTTCTGTAGCTGTTGTAGTTGCTGTAGTTGTGTAGTTATTGTAGTTGTTGTAGTTGCTGCAGTTGTGTAGTTCCTGTAGTTGTGTAGTTATTGTAGTTCTTGTAGTTGCTGTAGTTGTGTAGTTATTGTAGTTGTTGTAGTTGCTGTAGTTCCTGAAGTTGTGTAGTTATTGTAGTTGTTGTAGTTGCTGTAGTTGTTTAGTTCCCGTAGTTGCTGTAGTTTCTGTAGCTGTTTTAGTTGTGTAGTTGTTGTAGTTGTTGTAGTTGTTGTAGTTGCTGTAGTTGTTGTAGTTCCTGTAGTTGTGTAGTTATTGTAGTTGCTGTAGTTGTGAAGTTGCTGTAGTTGTGTAGTTATTGTAGTTGTTGTAGTTGCTGTAGTTGTGTAGTTATTGTAGTTGTTGTAGTTGCTGTAGTTGTGTAGTTATTGTAGTTGTTGTAGTTGCTGTAGTTGTGTAGTTCCTGTAGTTGTGTAGTTTCTGTAGTTGTTGTAGTTGCTGTAGTTGTGTAGTTATTGTAGTTGTTGTAGTTGCTGTAGTTGTGTAGTTCCTGTAGTTGTTGTAGTTTCTGTAGTTGTTGTAGTTCCTGTAGTTGTGTAGTTATTGTAGTTCTTGTAGTTACTGTAATTGTTGTAGTTGCTGTAGTTGTGTAGTTATTGTAGTTGTTGTAGTTGCTGTAGTTGTGTAGTTCCTGTAGTTGTGTAGTTCCTGTAGTTGTGTAGTTATTGTAGTTGTTGTAGTTGCTGTAGTTGTTGTAGTAGCTGTAGTTCCTGTAGTTGTTGTAGTTGCTGTAGTTGCTTTAGTTGTTGTAGTCATACTTTCATGATCCATGGTATTCTTAAGGGGTCAATTACAGCTAAGAGCAAAAGGCCACGCCCTGATTAGTGTCCTGTAGGGGTTTTAATACTAATTTCAGACGAGCATTTTTCATTGGAGTCTTCCCGCCCCCTCGCGAGCTCAATAAAATGAACTTCCTAGCAAAGAGCATAGAGGTATTGCTCAGGCTCAGGCCATGTCAGGTTATCTTCTTTTATAGTTGAGATTAGCTTTCAATTACCAACTGCTACTACTTAACAACAAGCACTAACACGCAACTCAAATAACCAAGAAACACACACAAGATCACAAGAAAACATAATGCAAAAATTTCGTGGAAAATAGTATTTGAAAGTTTGCGACATTTAAAGAAGGCTAATTTAAACTCACAGGATAACAAAATCTTAAAATAACCGCTCGTTTCATACACTGCCGTGAGAAACGACATGAACGGCTTAAATTATCTTTATTACGATTTAAAATCCTTTGATTTAATTAGATGTTTTAAAAGAAACTTTCAAGAATAACTTACCACTCTCACAGTGTTCACCAGTGAAACCAGAAGGACATAAACACCGATATTTTTTCTCTGTGAATCCAGACTGACAGGTACCGTTGTTATGGCAACGTGGATTATCACAAGCACTCTTTAAAGAACAAAAATCAGGTCTGATTTGTAACAGAAGTTACGCCAGTTAAACCTTCATGATCGAGGGTCAACTATAAACTACGGGATGATTATGACGATGATGACAATGATAATTATTACAAAAATGATGTTGATAATAGGGAGCTTAAACAACGACGACGTCGAAGACAACGAAAACGCCGAAAAAGCAAATAGGTTTAGAAAAAAAAACTTTGCACGTGGATTAAGATTAATTGTATATTTCGTTGGTGTCGTTTCATGACCTACCTAATTTCACGTTTCTGGACAAATGTTTCTATTTTTTTCAACTTAGATACAGTCCTTTAGAATTTAACACCCGAAAAATTCACCAACATTTGACAAATCGCGGCATGGAAAAAGAGCGACGAATTTTGAAACAGCTTGAGTTAACTTTTTAAGAAACGTTCACTCCACCGCCATCGTCGTAGTTGCTTAAGCTCCCTAATGACGAAGATTACGTCTCTTGTGATGATGATGACTATGACGATGAGATAATGATCGCCTTGAAGATGATGAAAGCAGATCATAAAAGAAAAAAAGACAAGAAAAGACAAGACAAAATACTTACAATTGCTCCATGATATAAGCAGCCTTTCCTCTCTAAAAAGTCGTCATCGTGCGCTCGGTGTGTTGAATTATTCAGTTCACACCGTTTCTGTGTTTGTATTTCATAATTAACGCTGACGCAGTTTGGTTCGTTGTAACAAAGCAGTTCACAGAGACCCATATCCGGGACATGTTGGACAATTAAGAACGTGTGGCTCTCCAAACATTTGTCAGCAATTAGGAAATAACTCGGAAACGCCAGAACGCGGCAATTACCTGAATTTAAAAAAGGAAAAAAAATGCATTTAGCAATTCTGAACTTTTTTGGCGGCAAAAAGAGCTTCGATTAATATAAAGCAACTGTCCTTTGTAGATAAGATTAAAGTTCATGGAACGTAACAACTTATATTTTAGGTTATACTCCTGCTCTTTCAGCCATGTTTTATCTGAAATTTGATGAAACTGCTATGTATATTATATACTTGCTGGGTTTTTTGGAATCGCTGACGATCTTCCTGGGAGAGTAGATTTTATTCTTCAAACTGGCTTAAAATAGGAAAGTATATGAAATAATGACAACAAGGAGATGGATATAAGTTGTTAGCTCTCTAGGCCTATTTTCTGTCAATTGGTCGAGCTCTAATGTAAGAAACCCCCCCTTTTTAAGGAAAATATACGATAATTCGTTTTAAAATTTGTAAAAGCCAAATGAAAAGACTGAAAACAGGAAAACAGGAAGATGGTATTCCCACCTGTCTTAATAAACTGTCGTGTTTATTGTGAAAATATTTTTCCCCAGTCACGCAAATAACAGAATTCTTTGTTTCTTAGCAACTTTCTCCTTGTTAACGAGTTTATAATCTAAGGGTTAACCGCAGTGACAACATCGAAAATCAATTTTATATTTCTTAATAATTTTCTCACATTTTTCTCCTGTTATTTAACTTTTAAATAGGTTTCAATGTTGTTCGTTGAGTCCGCTGGCAACTTTATAACTGAACAAAACAGCAACATTTCGGCATTGGAATAGAAGACACAGCTAAAGTAAATCCGGTGCATAAAATGGGGAAAACCGTTTCAGCTTCTGCTCTGCCTTAAGGCAATAATAAATCCATGGAAAGTTTCAATTTTTATGAAAAGAGCCAACATTGTGATCGTCCGGTGTTTGCTCAGGAAATGATTTCCCGTTGACATGGCAAACAGAATTCTCTTGTTGTTGCTGTTGTTGTTGTTGTTGTTGTTTTTTAATTGAATCTTTATAAAGATTCAAACAGAATTCTTGTTTTTTTTAGCAATTTTCTCCTTGTTAATTATGTGCAGCAGGATGTGTTTACCCTTATTTCCTCTTATTCAGCATTTATTAAAGTTGCTATGTCATTCAGTCAGTCTGTTAGCAGCTGCATGATTGAATGAATAAGCAAATTCTTGCATTAAATAGAATAAAACATGGGTTGAAGTAGATGGCATGATATCGAAAGAATTTCAGAATTCAAAGGACAACTTCTATGATGGCAATTAACACTGACTTACGCCCAAAGAGGACAAAAATAAATAACTTTTAGCTTTGTATTTCGCTGGTTTTTCGTCCATGAGGAACGTTTAATATTTATTCTGAAAAAAGGCATTCAATGAACGTCTTAAGCATATTAACTTGACCACAAAGGAAACAAGGACAGTTGAGTAGAATAAAATTCCCGTTAATACGATGACCGTTGGGCTTTAAAACCATGATCCGAGAAAGTGTTACAACACATATTATACTAAGCCGTTCTAAAATATAAGTTACAAACTAGAATTTCACCAGTCTATCAATCTGCCGTGTCGGATTTTACACATATGACTCGGACGCTCAATTATGTTATTGTAACAACTTTCAGTAAGATAAAATTGATGCAGATTGTCAAATTGATTGCGTCTGACTTCCCTGTTGTTCGTATTAACGAGGTACAAATTTGAAAAAGGTAACGCCTGGGGATACTTATAAAGGTGGTCATATTGAACGAGGTTTTCGAATAAGGAAATGACAGGATATTTTCGAGCCAGAAAAAGATTCGTCAAACTTAAAAGAGGTGAACATGGTCGTATTAATGTATAGTGTTAATATGGTAGGGGTCCAAAGTAAAAATAAAGATAATAAGAACAGATACTAAGGAATCTTGAGCTGCAGAGGGGAAGTGAAAAGTTCAACTGACAAGAAACGAAAAGAAATAACAAGGGACTAAAAGATCCTCGCACACTGACATTGTTAGCGGCCTTTTTTATTATTTTTTTTCTGGCTAATAATAGCCAAATTCCTTTTTCTTTTCTACAGCTAGATTCTTGTAGAGCAATCATTTTGCCTGCGACCAGACGTAACAGGCTAAATAAACAAACAGAGCCCACAAAGATGGGGTTAATCGCTGGTAGTTGTAAAAGAGGTTAACAGTGAAAAAAGCTGGTCTCCAACCAAAATTTATTATTTAGAGCGTTTCGACAACGCTTGTTTAGAACGTTTTGCGTCTTCTCCCCTCGTTGCTAATAGTTTGGTTCTTTATATTTGGGAAAGGTACAGTCCTTGGAGTCCTACGAGCCTTAAACAATTTTGCAACCACGAAAATTAATTTTGCGGAACTTTTTGCATGTGAAGTGACTTTTTTGCATATGTCTGTTAACTGTAAAGAAGAGAAATTAACCGTAAGCCGTAGAAAAGTCATAATTGTGGGCAGTATATTAGAATACAAATTTTGCAGCTACTCTTGTTTCCAATTTTTAAAGTCGGTCTAGCTAATTATAATTTTTTTTCTATCTTCTTCCAAGAGATAGATGTATTTGTCACTATTATGACGCTCAATTTTTGAACATAGCGATAAATATGACTGAAACAAGAAGCCGGGAAGAGAAGAACTTACCATCCAAACAGCCGAAGCAAATTCTTAAAGAATTCAAGTACAGCATAAAGAAAATACTGTAGTGAAGAACAACACCCATGATCGCTGCCTTGTTCGCGGATCGCAACTCTCCTGAAAAGTCGAGTGCATTAAGTGCGGTTAAGCTACAACGGGGAAGTAATTTATACTTTACCGGTAAACAGTTCCATACCACCCGTCGCATGTTAACATTAACGTCAAAACTTAAATTATTCTTTTTGTTGATGACATAATTTAACAATGGTTGGAAAGATTTTACTGATATTTCACAGTTAACACATACATATGCACAAACAGAGACAATTCCAGATCTATTGAAGATGTAGCTTTTCTTGCGTTAACTGTGCTCTCGTTAATACCGTCTTTACAATAGATTCTTACACCGTTCGTGGTAAACAGAATTTGACATGAATTAAAGTTGAAAGGTTTTAATGATCTATTAAAAACAACTCTGTTTCAAAATATTAGGGACTAGCCGGATGGGCCATTGTCGCCAGGTAAACTGGGTAAATTTTTAAAAAAATAGGATTTATTATTCAAAGATAAGTTAGCAAATTTTAATTATTTTCTTCTATGCAAATGTTTTTACAACAGCGTAGTTAACCCTTTCACAACTGAACTTAATAAACCGCAAATAAATTATAATATCTCTTAAATTGAGGTGAAAAAAAAACCATTGTTGTAGACAATGCTCTAATAAATAATGGAAAGATAAGCAGGTGTTGAGTGGGGACGATCCCACCCTACTTTAATGGACTAGAACATGATTAGCTGCGTGGTTGTCGTACTCAATGGGACCAACCGTGCATGGCCACAGACAGACCAAGCTTTTAGCTCGGTACGTTTTACAGGGTCCTGTGGCTATAAATTCGAGCCCCGCTCTGCGGACATCCGCTTCGTTATTACGAACAGCTTTCATTGACCCTGGACAAAGCCCTTACATTTTAACCCGCTTGATAAGGACACTTAAATCCTTTTTTGTACCCGTCAGTATGAAAGTCGCCGAAACCTTCCCTAACGTATCACTGTCTACTGGCAGCGTCAATAATTAATTTTAGCTCTGATATTCTGGTCTTGGCTCAGGACTCCTGAGTTTTCATTGTATGTATACGTAATTAGGGACATCCTGCGTAACCTCGGTTCGTCTGTGGCGCAGGCTAATAAGTGAAGACCTGATGCTATCAAGAGTTGTACCCTTCATTCTAGGTTGTACCCTTACATAAGAAAGATAATAAACAGGAATCTTGCTTTTTGTAACATCATAGAAAGGGCTATCCACACCCAAATCTATGGAAAGAACGAGAAAACATTTAAACAGTTCAGTTTCAAACATGAATGGCAAATACCCAGTCTCACCAAGCTACAGTATCTGTAGGATTTGCTCACTGGGGTACCAACTTTGGCACGCTATTGTATATTCTATGTGAATGATTTGCCAAATGCCCTCGATGCTGTTCATTCTGTTTTATGTTAATAAATCCTCTTCAAACATATATTTCAAAAATTGAATCTGATACGATTTGAACTCGGACCTGGCAGGTTGTGTTAACTTGAAGAATTCGCAACATGCAGTAATGCGAGGCTTAATAGGAAAGACTCCACTACTATTTCATTCTTCAAGTGTTCTTTCCTTTTTTGAGGGCATGGCGTTATGAGACAACTTATTCCTTAGCTACCAGTTCTACACAGTAATGCTGCGCGACTTAATCCAAATCGTCCCCGCGCTTCCGAAAGCGACACTTTTTAGTGAAGACTCAACTGGAAGTCTTTACATCGCCGAAGGGCTGAGAACCGCGCTTACTTTGCTTGCGTCGGTTTCAACCTTTTTAAAGCACTCGTGTCACTGTTCGATATAAGCTTCAATTCTCATAACTGTATTAGACAAATGCCAGATCCAAGCATGATATCCGACAATCTTTTGCTTCTAGAAAATGGGAACAGTGAATCACTATGAATATTGTTGCAGACTGTATGGGATCCTTTAGACATTACTTTAAGAGAAACACCCACCATATATGTATTTACGCGACTCCTTTCCAAAGCCAAATTTACATCCCTAGTTTAATTTCAGGAGCAAACTCGAAAAAGTACAAAGTAGATGCAGTCGAACCCTCTTATTACGGACGTTACAAGGGGGTTGGTGGGGGGTTAGAAAGTGTCCTTACAAAAAAAATTTAAGTGGTCATGTTATTGAAGCAAACAACAAAACTTGGTTTGGTGAACAACTATCATACTAAAGAAATATTAATAAACAGAACATTGCTGTGGTATTTCTAACGGGCCACCGAGGCCATATAGTCTAGTAAACACGAGCACTATTTAGCTCATCACCGCCACACTACAAAACACGCTGGCTCCGTCAAGTTACATGATTCCAGAGTTCCCGCGCTAGGGAAGTTAAGTTCCCGGATGTACACTACAATTGCTATTACTAGTTTCAACGCAGACTTTGTCCTTCGGTTTGCGCTCATTACTTAATCAAAAACAGTTCTCTGTGTATTAAACTCATTGATTACTTTAAAGTCAGAAATTGACGTCTCCACTTCATCTTATCCCATCTACCGTAGCACTGTAATTGCTGGTATTCGAGGATAACTTCGTCAGAGGCAAGGATTAAATTAATACAGCACACGGCCGGTTGAGAATATAGTGTCACATATTATCGAGCTTAACTTCTTTCGGTCTGAGAATCTGTTGATTGGAGTAGAACAAAGTAACCTTTGTTCGCATGAACGAGTGTCCGTATTATGGGTGTTGAAACGGAACGGCTTTGTCCAGGGACAAAGAGAGCTATCCCGTAATAACGAAGCATTTGTATTAAGCCGATGTCCGCTCGAATTTATAGCCACAGGACCCTGAAAAACGTACGGTGTTCGCGTAGTGCTTTTATTAGCCCAGTCCGTCCAAAATTACAACGGTGGCGTGAACGAAGAAACGCGGACGCATAGAGCTTGATTTACCTGTGGCCCAGCAGGGCTGGTTCCAGTCTCTCAGCGGTCAGTAGAAGTGCAACAAGGAAGCGTTCATCGGTTTGACAACTTCGAACAACTTCTGTTACCTCCAAAATCGTAATGAAGTTGGCATTTCCTCGACTCCATGAGGATACATCGGCCATTGCCAACACCGCGGCAAAACGCACTGCGCATGAGAACAAAATTTAACATCTGGTCAGCTTTTTAATTTCCGTTCTAGTGTACAAACCAATTGCGTAAGCATAACTTTGCCGTCGCGCCAAGCGAAAAGCAAAAAGGGAAAAAAAATGGGGCGAAAAAAATCACTTTATTCGAGATAGCTGATATATTTTTCTAGTGTTAAACTTTTGTACCACATGGTTATCTGGTTGCACCAACGCTGAAAATGATGTTTGAGGTTTGTAGGTTGCTAGCGCTTGACAAGACGCGCGAATTTGTTTTTACTGGTTTTTTGGCATGCTAATAGTTTGGCATAAGTTAATTTGGGAGAAAGCGATAACTAAGAAAAGAATCTATAGCAATACTTATGAAAGAAACCAAAATAAAGACGTCATTATTATCATTATTAAAACTAGAACCAAGAAATAAAAGTTTAGTCCGTTCAATAATTATTTTATTATCAGAGAAAACAAGAACTTAAAACAAAAGGTGGAAACCTCGACTTTGATGACAGGAGTCATGAATACCCTGAGCTTTCAGTGCCGGGAAACTAAACATGCCTTAGTCATTCAAGAAAATGCCTATTTGATTCTTTTACGTGGTTGTTCTTTGGTTGAAGACTTCAATAATTTCAGACTTTGCGGCTCGGCTGCATCTCATGCAAACACGAAACTTCCAGCTGCTAAATAGGGACCTTAAGATACTCTGGACGCGGCCGAGGAGGACGCCAAACGGAAGTGAAATGTTCAATTCTTGGAACAAATTAGCATAATGCCACAGCGTCGACCTGAAGTCGCGACGGTTAAAACTAGAAGTTTGGCCGCCTCGTAAAACGGTGAGTTGGTTTTCTTGTTTTCAGTGCAGAAATTGCTTTTCGTAAAGGATTTTCGATCCCTTTTACTTCAAGAGACACATTTAAGTGTTTTTAGTGAGGCGTTCTCTAAAGATTGCCTCGTATTTTTTTGCTATCAAGCCTGTTGGTTTCAGTGTTTTGGCGGCAACTGAGAATGAAAGTGCTGAGTCTTTCGACACAAATGTAACACTATAACTGCATGTTTTTAAGGGGACAACGATTTCGCTTTAGGATAGTATTTGACAACTTAAGAGACAAGAAGTCGAAAAAAAATTGTTGAAAAACAAAAAATCTAGGCTTGTAATAAACTTGAACATGTCAGAGAAAATTGAGATCTCGAACAAGACGCCATGGTTCATTTATTAACTTTTATAATTTTATTTGTTCACTTTTAGTTCAGCGATGGAGCGGTCTGAAGATCAAAATCTCGTTTAAGTACGGGAAGTTCTCATAACAGAACCATATCGTTTTAAAGCAAGATCTAGAACAACGGAAAGCGAAAAAGTCTGGCAACAAATAGCTGATAACCTGAACTCCGATCATACCCTCAAGTTTCCCTCGAAGAAATTCGTTTTTTTTTTTAGAGAAACTGGAGTCATAGCCGGCAGCACAAATTTTTCTTCCAATAAAAGATCGTTAAGGTATCAATCAAGCAAGACTTCACGAGTTATGGAATTAAAACACGAAAGCATTACTTCATCCTCTCTCGTCAGACGAGCACTCAACCCAACCTGCTCAATCTTAATTTGTTTTTCCCGCGACGGTGGCGGCGTCCTCGCTCCAGGCCTTCTCCGTTCTCTTTACCGCCGCGTCCAGGGTATCTTAAGGTCCCTAATACGTGGCATGAAAACTTCGACTTCTAAAAGCCATCGAATAAGCTTTCGCTCCCTGATTCTGAGAATGAAAAAAGTAAATAATGTCACCTTGCTGCCAACCTCAACAGTATAATTCACAGGCAGCCCAAACTCTGTGGGAGTTCGTTGGGCTTTGAATTTATAAGAGAATGTATGAAAATAAACAAAATACGTCCTAAATTCCATTTTTCGACAAAAAATAGAAATAAAAATGAGTTACCTTGTGTTTGTGTTCTGTTATTTACTGTCTCTTCGCCTCTAGAGCCATTTGGAAGCCGCGCGTTTTATTGACGTTTAAGATTTTGAGTTGCACTAACAGTAAAAAGAAATGGGAAGGCTGGGGACTCTGAAGCCGGTCGTTCCAGCTCATGAAAATGGTCCAAACTCGCCAAAAATTGCCGTCAAAGGATCTGTCGATAATTTGTCTTTCTCTTCTATACTTCTGGAGTCTCAGATTTCACCACAACCGCCAGCAAAGCGCTTGATTTTAACCTTTTTTCAAACTTTTTGTTGGCAATTTTATCTGTGCCGCATATGCCTTGCGGTACGAAACTAAATAGTAATTAGAATGCAAAGTTAAATCTCAGTTTGACACCAGATAACCTAGATTAATTTACCTTTATATATGTTACTTTTGCAAGTGCAAGCGCTTATTGGTCAGTATTCTAATATTTTCCACCATTGTAACTTTTGATATGTATTTTTATCAATGAATAAAGACATATTATTATGTCCATTCCTTGTAGACTGACAGGAAGGATGTTCGGCCTCATGATTTATAGTCCTTGGGAGCGGATTACAACAAGTCACCACCGGTCCCAGGTCTTTCTTTTCCTTCTTCTTACACGGACGTCAGTACTTTCCTTAGTATCTTTGCTGTCCTCAACAATTCTGTTTTCTGGATAACTTCCAGCCTCACGTTCACGCCGATTTGCTTCATGTACTCCTTAAAGTTGACTGATCATTACCCCAGACGTGACTTGGGAAGACATTTTATGCCAAATGTTACCTTGCTGTGGTTTGCCATTCTTCTACGTACAAAATTGTAAAAGTTATAAAGCTTTTAGAAAAAACGGCCTCAAAGGATTCTGAGATAATTTTTATGATGATTATAATTTACTTTTATAATTATTACATCAAATTGTTCAAGTTAGTTTTGCAAGACTCTCTTTATATAACACTGCATTAACTAAGTCCTTCCTTGTGGAGGGGAAAATGCTCAATTCAAAGTTGTTGGTGCAGGGGGAGTGGAAAATTTTCAATTTAGTTTTGCCTACTGCGTCGACAAAGTACATATGCCACCATAAATTAAAGAGAGTCAAACGTTGACTTTTCTAGCACTATCACTTTGGTAGGGTTCTGACAAAGTGGTGGCGTTAGAGAAGTCGCACTATCTCTTCTCTTAATGGTGACAAATGTACTTATAAACGTAAATCACAGCCGGTGATATTATTTGGAGTCTATTACCCCCTTGCACAGACCAAAGGATTTACAGGTGTTGTCTAATTACCACCTCTGAGCAGGACGATCATAAACCCAGGCCGAACACTTGCAATGTGTCCGACACATGCGCAACGAAATTAGCCGTCAAGAGGACAGTTGCTTCCCTTGTGATCAGGTAAAAGGTAAAGGAACTTATTTTACGTCGATAAACATTACAGTGTACTTCAAGTGACAAACCTGAGGCCGACAGCAGTGGGCTCATTTTACCTCCTCTCTCCATCAGAGTTCCCTTTTACGGGTATTCAAAGATACTTTAAGCTACGCGCAAAATCGAAACAATCTGTGTTGTGGGGATATATCGACGGGACAATTATTCACACGCAAGAGAATATTGCAGAGCCATGTTTTTATTTTTTTTTTTCGGTGAGCGAACTCAAAGAATTTTGGGGTCAATTTAATAAAACTTCTACAAGTGTAATTTACGCTTGTAAATTACACTTCAGTTCGGTTCAGTTCAGTTTTATTTAGCCAAAATGCATTACGATACAAGAATACATATAAAAATTTTAAGTTGGCAAGGGAGCCCAGAAGAAACCAAAAGGCTTATGAAGCCTGGGCTCCCGAGTCACAAAGAAATAAGTAAAGTGAAAATTCGCGGACAGTAATGCATTAAAAATACATCTGGTAACGAAAAACTAAACAAAGACTAATTGAAGTTAAGAATTCAATAACAGGAAAGAAGAAAGTTTTTAACTCTGGATTGGAAGGAAAATAAGGAGACACTGCGTGAAATAAGTAATTTAGTGGAATTTACAGGGCCACGATACTCCCATGGCACTTAGCAAATAGTATACCGACACGCGAGGTGTCATGAAACGCGGCGTTTCAGAGAGTGTCCGTGTCCCCGATACCTCTGTCGTGAAAAATCAGGACAAATCGTGGCCCGGACACGTCTTCTGCGGTGTGTCAAGAAATATACGAGCTCTGATTCTTAACGATATCAGTTAGCCAAAGCCATGTCGACTTTTGACCGTGAGGTAAAATGGCATGAAAACTGAAATTTAGGAAAAATTAAACTTTACCTAATAAAAACACAACTAACTCATTTACGCAAACTTTCCAAGGTACGCCGAGGTTGTTAAAGATTTACGCACTTGGCTTAAAGGTTGAATGAAGGCAACATAAGGTTGCAACAATTTTACGCTCATTCTCTTACGCGAGATATGAAAGATGAGTAACTGTAAGGTTGCCACGTGCACTCTGGTAGCAGGATCTGTTTTCTTTGTTGTTTTTAGCATGACCGAAGTAGTTTTCACGCCGCTAACGATGAGAATCGTTGGCTTGTTGTTTTTGGAGATCTTGTAATTCTGTTCGGGTGACTGGAAGGCATTGTTAACATAAATGGCCCGTCACTTACTCTTGAAAAATAATACAGTGTCTTTGTCACAACGAGTTAAACGAAAACAAATTCAAAACAGAGAGAACATGCGTGATAACTATTTCCTTACTTACGATGAACGACAGACGGCATTCTCGAAAAACTATGGCTACTTAATTTCAACGGAGTATTGACTAACTTTCTACAAATACTACATTGTTTTTTGAACTGCCTTTATCGCTTCCCGGGTATCACCTCTGTCAGCAGAAGAAAAAAAGAAGAAAACCTGGGGGTTATACGTTCGAATGAGGCCTGGAAATGAAACAATACAGCAAAGCAACTGGTCAGCGGGTATTCGCTTTGCACATGCTCTTTCAGGTTCCGATTTGGCGTCCAGTTTGAAAGTGTGAAATCGATCGTTTCGATCGGTCGGCATTAGATTCTACCCACCAAAACCACATCGATCGAGAGGGACTGAGATTAAATTTTGAATAACTTAAAAGTCGTAACCGAAGATTCTCGGAAAATGTACGGATGATATGCACGAACAACCGAACATCCGAATACTAGATCGGACGTTCTAACCACTGAACCATTAGGGCTCTAGCGTTAGTGAAGTCGGAATTCTACTATACCAGCAAAGTGTACTACACTTCTGTACTGGGAGCTGAAAGAAAGAGAAAGGCTCGAGAAAGGCTGCGTTCATTTCACGTGGGGGTGCAGAAAATATATCAGGGGATACAGTTTCATACATAATGACTGAGATGTTAGTAAGATGTTGGAAACGAGCAACGAGCGGCGAGAACGAATCGCGAAGCTCGCTGGTAAGTGCTCGTTCTTTCTCACGCGGAGAAAAATCAGGAACAACCTCTGGAACCAGGATATATAGCTAGGTGTAAATACCGCGAGCTTTACACTCCCCCCCACCCCTTGCAAGAAGAAGTTTCTTTCCGGCATGGATTTTAGCATTCCAGTCTACATATATTGACCTCCAAAATTGTAAATTTCTGAGACTTATGAATGTACATAATACAGCTTTACTGCGCTTTTCACAAACATGCGAACTCTAAAGTTCAAAAGCCGCCTGCGCAATTGCGTTTTTCGCTGCCGTCAATCATAATTACGACCACAAGCAACGAACCTTGAAACACAGAAAAACACAAAACGGATCGAAATCCACCAATCACAAATCACAAAACTTGACCTTTTGAACCCATTAAAGTAAAGTCTTGTTTCCTAAGAGGTCCGTTAAGATGATTGACGGCAGCGAAAAACGCAATCGTCAGTTGGCTTTTGAACTTCAGAAACATATCCAAAATTCGCAGCAATTTTCCTATCGAACGCGGGTTCGTAACTTAAAATTCCCGCCATGATGTTCCTGTTTGTTTCCCGGGACTGATGATGGGATTTGGAAGGTCGCGAGTTCGACTTTCGCCCAGGGCACGAAAATTTTCGTTGCCCCGGGCAAGCATGGTTTCTCCTTCTCCCAAGTGAAAATGTTCACTGGAAGTGTAAGTGTGCTGCTCACAAGTGCACATTAAAAAAATAATAAATAATAATAAGAAAATAAAATAGTTTGTATGTGTAAATAATAACAACTTATATAAAAACCATGATTAAAATTTTGTTTGTGTCAATAATTATTATGCTTTATGAGTATGGTGGTAAAAAAGTCCGTCAGTACTTTGCAGAAGCGTAACTATGCGCCTAAAAAAATTAAAACCCTGAGTGGTTTTGGTGGATGTAGACTTCAACATCCACCAAAACCACCGACAGTGTTCGGTGCTAGATGTGTATCACGTAGACCCATGAAATCTGAAACATATTTTAAAACTTCACGTACAATATTTGCCAAAATACAGTTATACTCGTTATATTCACCCTTTGTTGGCGAGAACTCGATCTCCCAAATATTATTAAGCCCAAAGCAAAAGAAAGGCGAATCCCCGGGAGGCGAATACGTCAAAACATCGTAGGCATCTTTCATTGGTATAACATGTCACAAGGTGTCCAAAAGTCAATCTCAGTCCCTCTCGATCGATGTGGTTTTGGTGGGTAGAATCTAATGCCGACCGTTTCGATCACGCCAACTTGTTTGATTTCCCTCAGAAGTTTGAGTCCATAATTATTCTTCTCGATAGCATCACAGGACATCTGAGGATTGTAACACATTATCATCGAACGTTCAACCTTCAGTTGTCGATAGATCTTAAGAGGCAACCCTTTCGATACAGGAGACTCAGTCAAGCAGACTAAGAATTTGAACACCGAAGTATACTAAGGACTGTACTACTAAAGCGCTCCAAGACTCAGGATTTTGCTGGAAAATTAGATAGCAAGCTGCCCTGTTTTCAAACTATTTAAATCATATATTAAGTTTTCAATGAAATCAATGTTTTATAAAGGAGCTGTGGCACGAAATTTATCAAAATTTAAACAGATGAAACCGCCACCATATTGACGGAAACATAAAAATAACTACTCACAACAGTTGAAGAAGGTATAAACAAGACAGCAAATTAACGCAAAAGGAGGCTCAGATAGACAAACTTGAAGAAGATTAAAATGGATTACAATTGCTGGATTGCACTTGACGTCACAGCAGCCATATTGGTGGTGTGTTAGGGTAAAGAACAAAAGCATTTCTCTCCTCCGGGAACTAAACCCTATTTTCATGTAAATTCTTCAAAAAAAAAAAAACATTCTATTGTAATGACCTCCAACACACCACCAATATGACCGCCTTGTCACGTGGTTCCAAGCCAAGAGTAGAGGTTTTTGAAAACTTGTAGGCCTAAAGTTCATTCTTTTTGCCTGTAACTTTGATGAAAATGTAATGCTTCGGGACAAATTTGTTTACATGAAACAGTGATGTTGTTATTTTCAAGTAATATTTCTTCACTTACACTAGGTTCTACTGAAGATCGCATAACTGAGTAAAATCTCGCATTCTGATTGGTTAACAAAGCGAGATATTTAGTGTGGAATTCTGAGTTGAAAACGAGGCTAAGCAATATTGTTTCGCATCTACATGTAGGTAACAACTATCGTCAAATTCTAACACAACACAACTGCAAAAAAGGTTTTCTACGATGTCATTTTAAAATGTTTTCAAAACCATTGTCACCTTTTGAAGAGTTCAAAACAAACAAAAGCGTTTTTATAGTGAGCCGGACTTTCTTCCTTGTTTTGAACTGAACTACAAATTCTCGAAGAGGCATAAAAAACCTCTTTCGCTCACAACAACGAGAAAAGAAGAAAATCTTGTGAACACGGCCCAGAAAATGGCCAGCCAAAGTTCAACCAAACAAAACGGAGAAGCGACAACAGAGGAAGTGCCGGGGTCGATTGTCACATAAATTATACAGGAGAAGAAATAAATACCTTCAAAGACGACATGGCCCCTCAGCGAAAACACGAAAAAGAGTACGCCGCTTGCAATCGTCCTGAATCGTGATACTTAGAAAAGTACAAAACAGAGCTGAACTTGAACAGCATTTCTAAAACATTTCAAGGTACTTACCATGATTGTATCAATCGCGACGTTAAACTTTAAGTGCTTTTGCTTGGACACTTCATTTCTTTCAGTTTTGCCGCCGAAGACGTAAAAGGTGTATATTATTTTCCTTCTCGAGCAAATGACCAATTTGAAAAAAGATGTTATAGATAAACGGCTCGTAAATTTAGTGAAATACCTCTATTTATCCTTAAGATTATTGTGAAGCTTGTTTACATGTAAAAGAGATTGACAACAAATGTGAAAACGAGCACAAGGTACAAAAAAAGTTGTCAAAGGGTCAAACGCGTACGACTGACCTTGCTTCCTATTCGCTAACGCAAAGACAGTTCTGACAGTTGACTTTGAAATGGCTTCCTGGAGCACACGCTCAGGATAAAAACAAACAATATTATTGCCGTTTTCTTTTTTTTTTTTTCTGATTTTTATTCAGTTATGCGATTCAAGGAAAATCCATTACCTGACGAGGGAATTCCACGTTAAATTGCACTTGAAAACTGATATAACACACTCATCGCTGCGCGATTCGTGCAATATCGGTTTTCGCGTGCAATTTATCGTGGAATTCCCTCATCAGGTAATGAATTTTCCTATAGAATAAGGACTTGTAATTGGCATTATGTACAACTAAAACTTTGCTTGTCCAACCAAGATGGTGTCTTTTAATAGTGGGACATATGTCCTTTTAAGAGAAAAAAAAATGTTCACAGCCCTGTACAGTGTTATCAAGAAAATTAGGACAAAGACAGTATACACAGTTTGTTCTTAGAAATCATACATTGCAAGCTCAACCTACAGATTAGTTATTAGTTATCTGCTGGCAGATAGACCTTTGTATGAAATTGTCCACCCGAACCTCATCCTCATTTCTTTGCGTTTGCTCAATAGAGCGTAATGCGGGAAAGGTCTATTAGTGACTAATCTGTAGGTTGTGTGCACGGAGGGAGGTGGGGGAGGGAAGTTCAGCACGCATTGTTGTTGGTTAAGAATTTACACAGTAATGCAGGTAGTGTCGCTTCGATTTTGCGAGGACAAATACGATATGTGAGAAAAACAAAAAGGCATGAGATACATTTTTTACAGTTATTGAATATTATTCTCTTTGCTGGTTCGCTTTTCACCTCTGAACTACCACACAAGGTGACTGCCTTGCAAGTTGCGAAAGTGTTTTTCAGTCCGTATAGTGTACGATCCCCACGAAAATTTATGGTTTGAATTTTAAATTCAACATTAGCTTTTAAACCCAACTCTTCTATTTGACCTTGCTCGCTGTGTATTTTCAACTCGCTTCATCAAATTACAGTTACATAGTAGAACTATACTATTTTCAACTCAACGCTGTGAATAAAACTATACATACACTGGACAAATTTTCCTACATTGCTACTTTTTATAAGCTTGAATGCCTGAGCCAATACTTGGTGCATTTTTCTACTTACCGAGTCACATTTCAAACTCGACCATGTATATTTTCAACAAGACTTATGAATTTTTGTTTACACTACAGTGATCATTGATCAAGACCAGGGAGCCCCCCCCCCTCCATAGAAGCCTTTGTCGGAGTTAAGCTCATTCAAAAGGTATTACTATTAAGGGAAAAAATACACACTCCAGTCAAAAGACTCATATTATCTTTAGAAAAACAATAAGCTAAAGTCTACTAAGTCACAATGCAATTATCTATAGTTGATGCACCTCATTCTTATAATTTTGGATCTGTAAATCACTATCTGTGATAATTTAATATCCTGCAAAGAAAACTACTAAACGAGTTAGGCCCAGAATGATACAAGATTGCAGAAAAACATTACATTAAAGGACTAGAGAAAATCGCTTAAAATATTCAAATCCAGAAGGCCCTTTAGAGAAAATTAGAACCCTTATTCAGCCGTAATAAAAAGCTTTATGCTTTAAAAGAGGTCAAAGAAAATGCTCTTGCGTCAGAGGACAAATCCTGCCGACCAGAAACAAAAACCACAGTAAATCAATATGTGTTCCATGACCTCTCAGTGTGAAACAAGTGCCAAAAATCACATTTGTTCAGTGAAATTGTAGAACCTTCCAGAGCATAATCTACCCAGCAGGGGAAAAAAACTTATTGGAATGAGCAACATTTTGGTAGGAGGTGAAAGTCGTTTTAATAGGCCTACCAACCAACCCCTTTTATTGCTGTGCGCTCGATAAACATGCTATGGCAGATCCCATGCCAGCCACGGTAGAATCAGGTAAATCCCACTATTTACAGTGGTGCGATTTGAATACCCCACTCGATGCATGAATCTGCTGTAATCACCCAGCATGCAAAGAAAGTAGTGTCCGATAGCGCGGGGCTAGTGGATTTTGCTCTCAGACTAGTGAGTTCTGTTATTAACTTGCCCAATGGGCAAGTGAAGTTTTTTGAGGAATTCAAATTACAGAAGTACTGTCAAATCAATCTGCTCATCAAAACATTTTTGGGGCTAGTTGAAATGATGTTTGGGCTAGTAAATGTTAGCTTCAGCTGTAAAAATGACTTTCTTTGCACCCTGTCACCATACTGATAGGAATCTAAGCAAGTGCAAACTCTGCCGCCATGTTTGTGCAATATGCACGAAGCACGATGGACTAAAGAGCCACCCACCCGACAAAGGCTTCTATTGTCTTGACCCAGGGAGGCTTCCTGGTGTTGATCAATGATCACTGAAGCGTGAACGAAAATTCACAAGTCTTGTTGAAAATACACATGGTTGAGTTTGAAATATGACTCGGTAAGTGGCAAAATACCCTGAGTATTGGTTTAGGCATTCAAGCTTATAAAAAGTAGCAATATTAGAAAATTTGTCTGGTGTATAGTTTTATTCATAGCGCCGAGTTGAAAATTGCATGGTTCTACTATGTAATTTGACGAAGCGAGTTGAAAATACACAGCGAGCAAGGTCAAATAGAAGAGTTGAGTTTAAAAGCTAAGGGACACGAGCATAAAAACGTTTTCTTCTAAAGGAAGAGTGTAAAATTTTGAATTCAGCTATAAAATTCAAGTACCGAGGTTAGAGTTTTAAATGATGCATTTAAAATTGAAACCATGAATTTTGGCAGGGATCGTACGCCATAAGCCTGACTTTGTCTCTACCCCCTGGTGTGCACCAAGTGTGATTTCTAAGAGGAATGTCAAACTGTGTTCCATGCAATTCTGTGTTTGTCCTTGTTTTCTTGAAAACAATGCATAATGAAACAACTATTAGAATTGGTTTTTGTGATATTTGGAATAATCAAGGTCTCAGTATGTGTTATCAGCCTCAGCCTTCAGCTCAGCTGATGTCATTTAGTCAATCCTCTTCCTTGATTATTTCTGGATATCACAAAACCTCATCCCACACCATTTATTGTTTAATATTAACAAAGTGAACTAAGACTGTGGTGGCACAGCCCCTGTACATTAATTTGTAAATACTCAGTATCTTACATTTCAATGGGTAATTAAGGCAGCAGTGACAGTTAAAAGTAATTAAGTGAACTTCATTGATTCCTGATTTTCCTTTCAGTACTAGGCAAACATCTTAGGAGCACTATGCAATATTGTGCAGGTTAGTGACACTGGGGTTGACGGGTTTGTACCAGAAAATAGAAGAAAAGTCAATGTTACTGAGAATTTGTAATTACATGTAACAACAAGTGCTGAAAAGAATATAGAATACCTTATTATTTATTTGATAAAGTGCTCAACCTCAAGTAACTGCCCACCTCCAATAACCCTCCACCTTATAGGCAGAAAAAAAATGAATTATCTCCTAACCTCGAATAAGTGCCTACCCCATACCAGCTAGATTGAAAAAGACTAAGTTCTACTAAATTAAGAGACCAAGTTTTCTTAGTACAGTATTTCAAAGAAATTTTCAATGAACAGTTAAAAATCTGCTTTGGATTACTCAAACAAAATTACTCTATCTCCAACAAAATTACTTTTGGTGAAAACTTTGAGAATTCATTAAACACCCAGCCCAAATACACATTAAAGTGACCAACTTAAATAATAACCCACTCTCAAGGTGCAAAACTTTAGTGAGCACCCAGGCAAGGCACTTAATCAAATAAATATGGTATTTTGTTTTGGGACCTCTTCATTGGAGTGGTACATGCAGTCGCATTTTCCAGTAGGTGTAGTGCTTGATTTATAAACACACAAGCTGTTTTATGAAAACTGCATTGACAAAATAGATTTGCAATTATTGAGAATCTATTTTATACCAATACAGCATTACATTTCATTTCACCCTTCATTAATTTGGCTTTGCTTTTTCAAAAACACTGTATCGCAGCTCCAGGTTTTGTCCAAATTACCTTTAGTTTAGATAATATTATTTTGAACTACTGTGCAAATTAACCTTTTAAAAAAATAATGTATGAAATAGCTGTACGTATGATCTGAAAATAGTTTATCTACAGTGTATATGTAAACTGCTTTTAATAGAGCTTTTTACTGATACAGCAGCCATATTGAATTAATTCGATTTAAAGGGTATTATAGGATGCCCTGGGGGCATGAGCACATTTCGTTTGTATTTTGGAGTGCTTTTCAGGACATTTTTTCGTAAAGTTTTCTTAGAATAAGATTGTAATAGGAAAAAAGATTCTTGTGCCCTGTTTGGACGTAATAATGATCACCTTTTTCTAGTTTAGCATTAGAAATATGGTCTTTCACCGTATATTTCTCGGGGAAAAGGTGATCATGATTACATCCAAACACGGCACAAGGATCTTTTTTCCCATTACAATCTTATTCTAAGAAAACTTTAAGAAAAAAATGTCCCGAAAAGCGCTCCAAAATACAAGCGAAATGTGCTCATGTCCCCTGGGCATCCTATAATACTCCTTAAATTGAATTAATTCAATATGGCCACCGTATTGGTAAAAAGGTCTATTAGTACCCTTATTTTATTCGGCTGTTGATAATAATAATGTTATTGAGGACAATCACCTGTCTTTTTCCTTCAATTCCCAATTTATTTTTGTGCATGCCTCACAGCAGGTATGTCAATGCCAGAAATTTCAAACCCATTGAATTTATTGGGTGGCAACAAGCTACCTTAAACTTCAAGGACACTTTGGAGGATTCTTGCTGATCTCAGCAAGACTGTTCTTTGATGTTGTTGATGTCTTGTTCGATGTCCACCCTTTTGTCACAAGGACATGCAATATCAGTGATGAGGCAATTTTTGTTCTGTTGGTCCACACACACGATGTCAAGGCGATTGTGATCCAGTTTCATTTCTGTTTATATACAGAAATCCGAAAGAAATTTGAAAGTCTTATTATCCTTAACATCACATTATTATTATCATTATTATTGTTGTGGTTGATGATGTTATTATAAGCATGGGTAGTAAAGAGGTTCATACACATGTACAAAAATAAACTACCTTAACCACTATTTTGGGCACTGATTTGTGGTTATTGCTCACTTTTTTCAATGGCTGTGCTTTGCAGATTTTAGTAAAACAGATGAAGGTGCGAACAGATGGTTAAGGAGACCCTGCAGCAGCTAGATGCCAGCTCCTTGATTAATTCTTCCAAACCCCAGCGTTTAAGGAGATCCACCTACAAGCCAACCACCCTTTAGTTCACATGCATGGCCATTGTCGTTGATTAGCAGTGGAGCTAGTTGTCACACCAGTACATCCTCCTTCACTGCAGCCTCCCTCCCCACATTCTCCTTTACTTTAAGGAGTGGCAGTGATGATGGACATAGGATGGAGAATGGATGGATTACTCTCTAGTCTAGTTGTTGCCATTGTTTGATTAAATTATATATGTTTTAATTTTTGCAAAACTTTTTTTTAAAAAAATTGAAATGTTTTGAAATCACTCATTCTGAATATTCCAATCAACCTTGCAACTGTACCTTGTATATTTCTTTGAATGAATTGTCAACATGCTCGAACACTTTTTAGAGTTAGGTTTATCAACTGACACAACTTTGCACGTTTTCCTGTCAGAATTATCAAACTTTGTTCCTGTATTTGAACTTTAAAATAAATGATGTTACGCGATTTAAAACCTGGGTTTTTCCCTCTTGCGTTGGGCAATTAGTTAAAGTGAATAAGACTGGGGCGGTGATAAAAATGGTAGAATGGTCGGAACTGTTAAAAATCATTTTCAGTATAATACTGCAACCCCAAAAATAAGTCCCTGAAATGCAATGAAGTGCAATGCTGACCAGGAAACATATCGTGAGGTATCAATGGAGTGAAAAGCGGGATCAGTTTTTTCAATATCATGCATGGAAATTGAAAGTATCGTCGAATTTAGTACAATAAACGTCTTGCAATTTTCGCGTATCAGGGAGTTTTGCCACGATTTCAACATCGGTAATTTCATGAACCGTGGAATTCCAGTGGTGTTTGAGTCCCTGGTATTTCACGTACCATGGAATTTCGGGGAAGTGAAAACACTCGAAACTTCACGTATCGTGGAATTTCATCGCATTCTACTGAATAGAATCTTCACGTGTCGTGAACGTTTGGAGTATAAATTAGGATAACAAAATCCGTAGCGTGGAATTTTAGTGAAAATGAAAGGCAAAAATTGTAGCGTTCATCAACGGCACTCCATGATTCTCGGCAAATCTAGACAAATAAGGACGTTTACAGGTCTTGACACGCCGCGTTTCAATGACGTTTCCGGATATCGGATATTCCATTCCGCGGAAAAAGTTCGATTCAGGAAAAATACGGGTCCTGATACTCAATGTATACGCTGCGTGTCCGGAGCCCGATACCTCTCCATACTTCCGTTTTTCTCAAGAATACGGGTTCGTATCGACTAATATCGGGACCATGACACAACTCATTTCACACAGTGCTTGAATAACATTTGCTGATATCAAGTGATGTGACAAACTCTGGTACTTCCTCTCTTGTACACCATTGCAGAGCTCGAGGATAAAAATCATCAAGCATTTCCCTTTTTTTGTGTAATACTGTGATTCGGGGAGGTATCCTCTCATGTGTTTGAACATTGATGATGCTGATGTAGTGTATGATTGGTTACACCAAATAAAGTCATGTGTATTGTACATCTTGAATAACTTCCTGCATATCTCCTTCCTTATGTCATAATCATTTTTCAGTATGTACATATTATGTTTGTGGTCCATAAAACCATCCAATCTTCCGTTATTATCGTAATGTAAATATTCGACAAAATAATTGGTGCGGATTAAGTATTGCTCAATAACGTACTCAATCTTCATATCTTCTGGTAGGACGATCAAGTGATTCTCTATCGTCAATAATGTTGGTTTGTTTGTTTTGTTGTCTTTTGGTTTTTCAATAATATCATCATCTTCATTGTCGATAAGTTGTTGGTACTTAATGTAGTTACTTGATCGATTTGACCATTTCAGTTCTGACATGTAGCGCCATAGATTGTCAGCACCACCTTGATTAGCTTTTGTTGCGATCTGTTTGAGGTGGTTATCTTGAAAGGGGTATAGATGATGGTCTTTGATGTAAAACACGAGGCTTATATCTCTTGATGCGCTAGCAATATGT